AAAGTTTTAGCTTTAACGAATGAGCCATACAGAAGATATAGACATTGCAAGCATGATGGGGATATGCCTAAATTTAGGCTTTCTAACACTGTAATATTTCTCAGTAAAGTTTCATTTTGTAAACAGCGGTTAGAGTTGCTAAGACGACTTTTTTTATCGAAAATACTATCGATGGTGGGCTATATTTTTGTTGTCAACAAAAGTTGCTTATTATCTGATATTTTGGTCTGGTGCCACGTATCACCGTGTCCAGAATGACTGGCTTCGAAGGCCGAACAATTTAGTCGAATCAGTGTTAAAGATTGTTTCGAAATTGATTTCATTTGAAAGAGTGCATCAAAATACATCGAATGGCGTTCTTAAAACTTTGACTGGTTGAGCTTCGATAGCAAAAAGTTCACAAACACGACCAAAAATATCGAAAATTTCATGTCGCTTTAACTACGATAAAACAAAATTTTTCATGCAATGTTAGATTGTTATATTTAGAATGAAAGTCGATGATGAGAAACCTCTAAGTTCCAAATTTCAGTTTGTTTGGACTTACCATTGAAAAATGACAAAAGATTCATTTTTCTATATTTTATTGAAGCATATTTAATCCAATACATTTGCCCGCATACGTTTTCAGAGAATATTTCCCTATGGAAAAACCTCTGTCGAATACCTATTATAAGCGTTAGGTAGCTGCTCATGAATGTTTAAGACTGTTAAAAGAGATTGAATATTAATTTGTGTCTATCAAAATATCACGATTTTGTCGAATTTCTTATAAGCCATTGTTGTGGTCCCCTCGGAAACATCGAAAAAATCGATTTTCGACTTTTGACCAGATATATTGCACAAATAAACAACATAGCAAGAAACATTTATGAGATAAATATCAGATAACAGGATAGCTCCTTTGCAGAAGTATGAGCATGTAAAATTTGACATACATATAATAACGCTGACAAAAGATAATAAAAATGGAATCTTCTGTCATTTTTCACTGGCAGATCAGAACAAACTGAAATTTTGAATTTAGAGGTTTCTCTGCATACGCTTTCTTTTGAAATGCAACGATTTAGCATTGGATGAAAAATTCCATGTTGTCGTAGTTAGTGTTATGCGACATTTTCGCTGCCTTTCATCTTTTTAAAAACTTTTCCTAGCAAAGAAAAATAGTCGAATTTTTAAGAACGTCATTCGATGTATTCTGATGCTCTCTATCAAAGGAAATCACTTTCAAAACATTCTATCACACTGATTCGACTAACTTACTCTATATATGTGAGCATGCTTTTTAAACACAATATAGGGCGCGAGTAAGTAGCTGTCTAATTCGAGTTCGAATTCAGAGACCGAAACGAATGGCAAAAATGCCATTCGATTCGCCTCAAATTGGGTTTCCAAAACATGGTATTCACTATTACATAGTATGGTTGTTTTCGGACTGGCATCTTCTTAGAATGAGAATAGTCTGCCGATCTTCTATAGAAATATGTTGAATAAATATAATTTATCAATATATACATAAGAATTATTCATTTTTTTCAAGAAAGAATAAATAAAATATAAATTAATGAAAATATCTAAGTAGGCTAATTAGATAAGTTTAATTTCTATAGAACGAAGAAAAATAATGTCATTTACTGTATATAGATCTATATTTACAGTTGACCGTAGTCATGCTTAATAAATAAAGAGGTTGATATCAAGACCCCAATCGCACTGGAAATATGAATAAAGTTAAAGTCTTATTAAGTAGTCTAACTGATACATTAAGAGTTAGGCCCCAAACAAACCAAAAAGATAAAACAGAATTAACCACTAAATCGTCTCAAAAAGATGACTTAAGTGTGAATTAACCAATCACGTTGCTTAATTCTGTTTTATTTTTTTGGTCTGTTTGGGGCCTTACAAGAGTTAAAATCACCTCTAAAATATTACTTAACTCTTAATGCACCAATCACATGGCTTAATTCAATTATAATGTTAATTTACTTCTGTGTGATTGGGGCCTAAATTGACTAACGAAAAAAAAAAGGAGAGAAAGAAAGAAAGAACGTCCGTTGTAAATGGGCATTTCTTACACCAATTAAAGTGCATTTAACCATAATAGCGCTATATCTAAGAGAACAATAATGACCATTAAATGTACACGATTGGCAGAGATCATGAGAAAGTTTTTGTCTCACTTTCAATTTTTTATTTCATAAGGACTTTTCTGTTTGAATAGAAAAAGTAGAATTTTTTTTTTCTAATTCTAATTATAAAAGTTAGAGTGATGTGCATATCGCCACCCCACATCCACAGTGAGCGATGTGATACATATGCGCACACCCACACATCCTCAAGATATGATACCTTATGAGTTCGCATTTATCAGTCAAATATCATCTTGAAAAAGGAAAGATTGTACAATTGACAGACAATATTCTTAAATTTTAAAATAAAACATTGTTTTGCAAAAATTTGTTATTAGTACACTATACCGTTTGCCGATGTCTTATTTTGAGAAAAGCATATTGATTTATTGACTGTATCTTTTTAAGTACACAAATAAATTTCAAACAGTATTCTGTCGGCTGCTAATTAGTACTCTTCTTGTGTTCTTTGACACTGCATAATTTTTCTTATTATTTATCAATGCGTTATTAATAGCTTGTCCGATACATGCCTTTACTTACATTTGTTGTTTATTTGTTTTTTATTGTATATTGTTTTTTTTACACTTGATTGATTCCTGCTGGAATATGTCCCAAAAAGATATGATCTCAAAATTTTGCATGATCATCTGTAATCATTCATTTCGAGTGAATCGAAAAAAGTATTAGACTTACGTTCTATTGATTGTCTATTTTACATCGAGTTATTAAATACAACTAGTTAAAGGCGTAAAATTAGTTTTGAATTTTTATTTCATTGATTTTATTCAATATTTTAGCATTTCAGAACGAACTTATACGGAATCAGAATTCAATACAAAATAATAAAGATATTAGTCATCGATTTGAGTTCTTCATTGAAAATTCCAATATATGACACACTCATAAATGAGTCATCTGTTTGCGTTCCAACCGTATCCAACAATCACAATGATTCATTGTCGATAGTCATATTGCTGGGTTTTTATCTATTCTAACAATCATGGAGTTCATCGACTCTTGCCTTTTATATTATAGTTTCTATAGATAGATCAGCAGAATTTTTTGCACTCTTCTCGGAAAAAAAATAAGTGCAACTACTGAAACTTTTCAAGGTTCATCTCAAACAGAAGAATAAATTCTCCATCAGCATCGTATAGCAAAAAACAACAATAGTAAGCAATTTTGTAATCTTTTTGTTTCGTAATTACTAAAAGAACTAAGATTGAATTTGATTTATTGCAACTTATTTAAGGACAACAGTATAATTTTCATGATAACCTGAATATATTTTCTACAGTAATATAAAGTATATAAGTATTACTTGTTAAATCAAAGATTAAATTTCACATTTTATTAATGGATTAATTCTATGTAAGAATATTTGTGTATAACTTCTAGAAAATTAACCATTGGAAATATATTTTTACATTTCATATAATTTCTCATTTGAATTAATATTTAGAAACGACTTGAAACTCAAAATCAATACGAGCGATGCTTTGTTCTGACTGTGAGGATCTAAGATGATTAAAACTACGTGAAAACAAGTGCATATCGAAGTCATAAAAAAATCTTTATCAACAACTATCTTCATTGTTCATATTCGTTGAGTAGAAAATTCAAATAAACGTACTGTGTATGTTAAGTTAGACAATTGATTGTACAAAAAATTTTAGAACTATTTTTTACATGAAAAATCTTTTACTGTTCATGTACAATAATAATCGTGTGGTTTTATTAGCTGGACCTGTTCCACTTTAGTTTAAGAAACATAGAAATTGTTTATATATGATCAAGTACGTTTTCTAACAACTAGCGTTGCGTCAAAAATCAGTTACTTTTAGTGTTTGTTGCAATTAATGTCTCATCATAAATTTGTTAGCTGCTATGTTACAATGATAGGTGATCGAGAAGTAATTTAACATACAATTCTTCCATTTTATCTATTAAAGGTGACTGTGGAAATATAAAAACATTAGCTTCGAATCAGTATTATGTATTCTGTCTGAATAAGTTTTCAAAATCTTTCTTGTATTCCTATTTGAAGAGTGTCGAACTCACTCTTATATAGCGCTTGGATGACCTTTAACATATCATAAGATAATCAGGAGTTAACGAAGATTATTTCAAACACAATGAATAACAAAAACAAGTATGAATTTAAAAAACAGTATACTAATCATTGTTTTTGCGGCAGCCATTTGCTAACAGAAAGCATATTTGGACGAGATGCTTTGTTAATTTCAGCGTTATTCTTGATTTCTACTAATGTATCTCTGATACTCTTGATACTTATATCATTCTTTAGAGGGTTATATTACTGTATGCGATGCATGCAATCAAGAAAACGATTGTTTCTAATTTCAGGGCTTATTTCTTTTTAAATAGATACCCACGAGAAAGTTTAACCTATTATTATGAGAAGTCTCAACATTTTGATACTGATCTGAAGTTTTTTTTAAATTCTCTGATGTATTTAGGGTTAAAGAATGAAGAAATATTTTGTCAAATTAATTCTCAATCACCAATTACACAGTATACTAAACCGATACAGACAAAATCGATTATCATTCTGGTATGGTAAGTATTTTTAATACATATAAAGCAATAACTTATATCTTCTGATAAAATGATAAATTCCAAGTAGCTGTAAGATTGTTCTCGTTTTTCTTTCTAGAATAATAACTAATCTTTCCGTAAATACACAGCAATCATTTTTTAAGCACAACAAAAGCAAATAACAACATACTCAATCTTCAACTTTACACCAGATATTTAATATTTTGTTTTCATGTGAAAAGAAATCTTTTATAATATTCACACGAAGAATCGAAATTTGCTTCTTGTTTTTGGATCATTTTTTCATCAATGTCACAATCACCAGATGAAATCTATCAAGAATTATTTGACCATGTACAACGATCACGTATATTTCCTGACTCGAAAACTTTTTGTGATGTAATTCCACGTAAACTTCAACCTAATGAGATTCTTGAAAACTATCGAAAAGAAAAAATAAAGACAACATTTGATCTATCTGCATTCGTTTTCGATCATTTTATCATACCAAATTCAGCAAATGCTGTTGTTAATGAAGGCAGAACAACTGAAGAACATTGTCATCATTTATGGCCACTATTAACACGAGTAACAACGAAAGAGAAATTTTCATCATTAATTGAAGTTCCATATCCATTTGTTGTGCCTGGCGGACGTTTTAGAGAATTCTATTATTGGGATACTTATTTTACAATGTTGGGTTTACTCCGATCAAATAAACTAGAATTGTTGAATAATATGTTGGATAATTTTGCCTATTTAATTCGAACTATTGGACATATTCCAAATGGAAATCGATATTATTATATGGGTCGATCTCAACCACCCTATTTTTCATTGATGACGGAATTAGTAGGAAAAACAGAAAAATATAAAGATGAATTAGAGATGGAATATCAATTTTGGATGACGAAAAGATCAGTCAAACTTGATGATGGAACTATTCTTAATCGATATTACGATGATCTAAGTAATAAACCAAGACCCGAAGCTTTTCTTGAAGATACAGAAATAGGCCATAAGACGAACAATCCTAATATCTATGTGAATTTACGAGCAGCTGCCGAATCTGGATGGGATTTTAGTTCTCGATGGATGGAAGACGAAAATGATTTATCAACAATTCAAACAACTAATTTTATTCCTGTTGATCTTAATTGTTTATTATATCATTTAGAATTAAGTTTGGGTAAAATAACTGAAGCTGAACATCGTCGTCAAGCTATACAGAAATATATGTGGTCGAATGAACTTCAATTTTTTATGGATTATAATTTTATTAAAAAACAACAATCAAATTGTTTAACATTAGCTGGCGTTTTTCCAATGTGGCTCAAAATTGCAAACTCGGATCAAGCGAAACATATTGCTAGTCGGATTGAATCATTATTTTTACGTGACGGTGGTTTATTAACTACCCTATCAGAAACAAGTACACAACAATGGGATAATCCGAATGGATGGGCTCCACTTCAATATGTTGCCTATTGTGCTTTAATTCAAACACCAGGTTATGAAATACTAGGTCGAACTATTCGTGAACGATGGATGTCTTTAAATGAACGAATTTTTAAAGAAACTGGTAAAATGATGGAAAAATATGATGTGGTCAATATGAATAAACCGGTTGGTGGTGGAGAATATAAAACACAGGATGGTTTCGGATGGACTAATGGTGTTTATTTAGAAATGCTTTATCAAAAGCAAATAGAATCGTAACTTTCTTTAAACATAATTTGTAATCAAGATATGAAGACATTGTTTTTTTTATTAATCCAGTTATTTCGATCAAACTCTCTTATTCATTCGAATGACAAACTAATCTTTATTTCATGAAATGCTTTGGCAGAGAAAAGCAGACAAGATTGAAATTGAGTCACCACAAGAAAAGATATCACTTTTGTTTTAAGCTAATTGTACCGTATTTATTGTGAAATGAAGATGCTTTTTGACAAGGGCTTTTATTCTAAGACATGGAACGAATCTTGCAATAGGAAACAGCTAAAATAGAAATGACTTAGAGGGAAACTTTCTTTTTCTTTAGTTACAATGAATTTTTCTAAAATATGATTATTTTATTGAATGTTTCTCAAATACATTTGATTCAATCTAGCTGATGATTAATACAAACTTTTTATTCTGAGGATACTGTAAGAACAGAAAGACCTTTGCCACTAAGATTAGACAATGCTAAATCCTCTTCGCAGAGACCATCAAGGGTGTCAATATGACTTTTTAGAACATTCATTGAATGTCATTTGATGACTGAAAAAGAACAAAAACACAAGAAAAATTGTTTATTCAATTATCTTGCACTACCTCTCAAATAATGGCAACTCAAGAACGGAAAAAATGAATGAATTCTTACGATTGCCAAAAAATGATTTCGAATCTATGAAAAATTAGAATTTGCCTATTACTTCAAATTATAGCAATCTTGTGGAAGGGGCATTCTGGTCCTACTTACTTCTAGCATAGATTTATACTATGTGTATGTAATACATAATCTGTACACAAACGGTTTTACCATATGAAAATATTCATTGAAAGCTATACACTCCAGTTCGGATTTGTAAACAAAAACTTTTGTTCTTTACATTTAATTATGTTTTGCAGCGAACCCCGTATCTCGGCATTCAGTTTTAAAGCGATCAGATTTGAGTTTATGAAAGTTTCGAAAGTATAAAACAAATCAACTATGGCCTGTTTGATAAATACCATATAAAGCAATTAAAAGTATCGAAAATTATCAAAATTTCTTTGCAGATAATAATCATTCTACAACTTTTGAATTTCAATTCAGAAGTAGTATCATCAACTGGAATAAGATTAAGCGAGCTATGTTCGATCATTTAGTTTAGCAATCAATAGTTTTTGAATTCAGTCGCAAGACTAAATGAAGTTTAGAGAACAACGATAATATATTATCCATAAAAGTTCTAGTAGATAAAAACGCTGTAAAGTTAAACAGGATCAAATTGATGACTTATGAATCTCGTAATGATTAATTATTTTAATAGAGATTTCACAATTCTTTACTCTAATAGATAATTGCCATAAGGAAATCAATAAAACCGTCAAATCTTATCACTTACAATCGAAATATTACTTCACTCTGTCATGCAAAGTTGGAAGATTTCCAATCGTAGATCTCTCAGTTGAACATCGACAGATAAACATAGGTAGAAGTAACTTATTAATAGCTATCCATATGAATAAGAAATACTGTAATTTTCTACAAAAAAAAGAACCTGATATTCTGTGGGATCTTTTTCTTTAAAATGGCATATATAAGACAATATCCTATAGATGTCAGTCATAGTCAGTCACAACTTCTTTTTTTTCTTTATGAAAATGTTGCGCTCATGATAATGGCATTATACAAGGTCCAATCTATAACAACATACGTTTATTTTTTTCCAACAACAATCTGTCAACAATATTAGCGTCGAGTAAAATCGACTCGGTAGTACATTAAAAGTAAATAAATAAAATTATTAAATTTCATGTTTTTTTTTGTATCATCTAGAGAACAGTTATGGCTTCTACATCAGCTGTTATTGATAGTCGTATAAATCAAATGTCTACTGATAAATCAGTAAGAACAATTTTATTTCAGTATTGACATAAATATATTTTATTTAATTAATAAAAGTCTGCAATTCATCTTGATGAAGAAGCTATTCAGTCAAAATCAAATAATCAATCGATAGCAGAAACACCATTAATACCAATGAAAGCAGCGAGTAAAACTTCTTTATCATCGACAAGTTCAAAAACGAGTGACTATCCCGATATATGTCGAATATGTCACTGTGAAGATACAATCGATGAACCATTAATATCGCCTTGCTATTGTTTGGGTACAATGCAATATTTACATCAATCATGTTTACAGCATTGGATAAAGAGTGCCGGTGTTAAATCCTGTGAACTTTGTAAATTTGAATTTATAATGCATTCAGAAATAAAACCATTTAAACAAGTAAGAATTTTTTTTTTAAAAGACAAGTTTGTTCTAAAGAAAATGGAATTCTTTTTTATTTTAGTGGCAAAAATTAGATATGAATGTTGTTGAGAGACGTAAAGTTATGTGTTCTGTTGCATTTAATTTGATAGCTGTTACTTGCGTTCTTTGGTCACTATATGTTTTAATTGAAAAAACAAGAGAAGAAGTTAAAACTGGAAGACTTCGTGAGTCAACTTTCATTTTGATTCGCCAACAAGAAATAAAACGTAACTTTGTTTATAGAATGGCCTTTTTGGACAAAATTAATCGTTGTAGCTGTTGGTTTTACTGGAGGATTGGTAAGAAAATAATTATCACAGTATTATCGTGATTTTTATGTTTTTATTTTTTAAAGATCTTTCTTTATGTTCAATGTAAAATGTATCTTCAGGTAAGATTGTTTACATATATTATCACGAAATATGTTGCGAAAATTGTTTTGTAATTATTAGAAAAATCCTATTTAATATTTTTATTATCATTTAGCTTTGTATTCGTTGGCGTCAGTTCAATCAACGTATTGTTATTCATTCAAGAAATGAGCAACGTCATGGTGGTATGACGTTATCAGGTAAACAATATTTACAAATACAATATTAAATCAAAGTTGTTGTTTTCTTTTATTAGGAACAAAAAATTTAAATAATAATCGTGATAATTGCATTGTAACAGTACTTGATGCAAATGATTTACCCCCCATGAACTCAAATACATCATCAACAACCCCAATGAGTAATACAAATATTCAATTCGATTCTTCTTCTTCAACTAGTATCAATCGTAATCGGCGACATCAAAATAGCAATCATCGACGTTTTCTAAATCGTTTTTTTCTTTTTCATCGATCGAATCAATCTCAAACATAATTCTAATTTTCTTTTGTATATAAGTATGTTTGAATCTCAAATAATTTTTACAGTGAGTGTTAATATTTATGCTATCGCCAATACGTCTATATCACAAAAAATTGAACGAAATTGGCATTTCTAGTCATTAGAGTGTCATGAAAACACAAGACAAAATAATACGAAACTTTTAGTTTTTTTTCTCTTCCTTTCATTTATCCCACCGTCACTTTTTTGTTCTGAAATCTTTTTTTTTATGTTGTCTACGTAATTCTGAAGAAAATATTCTTTTATTTTAATGCCTCACATTGTTTTGTTGTTCCTATTGTGCTATAGCTTCATTTTAAAGGATAATAAATGGTCGGATTAAATGATATTAGGTTTATCATTTGAACTTATATGATCTGATGAGAACACTTCGGAATCAAAGTGTTCTATTCGTCAGAATGTTAATTATGTGGTTCAAAAGTACGATTAATCTTTTTCTAACATACATATAACAAGTTATGGCCATACTATTAAAAAACTATTTTTAATTAGCGTAAAATCCAAGGGGGAACAAACTGATTTCGTGATTTCTTGATTTCAAATGATTTCAGGTGATTTCGAGTGATTTAATGTGATTTCAAACTGATTTCTAGCATCGAAATCAGTTTGTTCCCCCTTGATAATTTGGAAAAAATCAATGGAATCAGAATCAGGATTTTTTCAAATTTCCACTACATTATCAATATAGATTTGTTAAGCGTTTTTCCTTGTGACTATTAATATGAATGTACATGTTTACATTAGCACAAAGTTGTATGTATGAGTGATGAAATAAAACATTGAAGATGTACAGTACTATAGTAGCTCTATTCCTAAATAGAATATTCTAAATAGAGATGTAAACCAATGTATAGAGTAGCAATCAAGACTAGATTTGTCCTGACATTCGCCAAAATAACTGCTGAAATTTGTTACACTATTTGCAGTTTTTGTTGTCAACGACTTAGTCGACTAGTCTGTATTCCTAGAGTTTTAAACAATGAATATCTGATCATTTATACCAAATCAATTACTATGCATGAAACTATCATACAACTCAGTATAAAATAAGCAGCTACAAGAATTTTTTTCTTTTTAGCTTTTAAATGTCTGAAGCTTCAACGTCTTTTAACCGTATGTATGATACAATTAATTTTCATAATTACATAAATATCGAAAAAGAAAAGGCTTTGCCTTCATGTGCTAAGCATTTCCTTGTGAATAATAATTTGTTATGAAAATATATGAATAGAAAGACGTATTTGGGATTTTCCATGAGTAATTTTATATTATTTTATACGAAATATTAATTTTTATTTGTGAATAATATATCAAATTTTAAATCAAAGAAAGACTTTTAACTATTTCAAAACTTTTGTTTATCTACATCAAAATATATAATTATTTCAAAAGTATTTTCCCAATGAAATTCTGTTGCTACGTATATTGTCACCTGATGAAATCACTGACTCAAATACTGATGACACAAAAGTTCAATATGATGAAATTTCATTAAAATATTTTTCTTTTCTGCTTGTAATCATGTTTCATAGTTTCATGTTCTTTTAATATTTAAAAAAAATGAAATCAATATTATTCACATGGATCATTGTTTAACAAGAATATATTATCATAATTGTATACTAAGGATAGTATACCTACAGTTAATAAAACAAAGAAAAAACGAAAAAAAAACGATCTTAAAATGCACCATATTAGCGAAGATTACAATGTTTTTTAATTGTTAGATCAAGCGGAATATCTAATGAGATTTCAGAAATTATTTTTTTTGGTTCATCATATTGCTTTCTTTTTATTGATGGTAGGCTTATGTCCCCGAATTCAGATATTCTTTGATTAATTAATTGCATGTCTTGATTAGAATCGATGAATCTTGATGATGTATTATTTTGAGAATAAGAGAAATTCTGTGAAGATAACGATAATACACGAGATGGCAATGAAGGTGTTTGCGAAATGATTGAGCATGTTGAAAGTATTTTGTCGATGCTTTCTTGTCGAATTATTGTTGGCAAAGATGATGATGATGAATTAAGTTCGATTGACGGTGATAAACACGAACAATTAGCAAACGAAGTTACATTGTTCATCAATGCAAAACGAATAGGAATGCAATAAGACGGGGATGATGAGTAAATACGTTTTAATGAACGAAGACGATCTGAATCTTTCAATAATCGATCATTTGAATCAAATATAGATACCTTAAAACAAACAAAAACCGTTTGATTCTATTGTCATATTGTTGCTAATAATTACTTTTGTCGTTGGTGAATAAAATAGAATTCTCTCAATCAATAAGCGAAGAATACGAATAGACATCGAACTTTGACATCGAAGATAGCGGCGAGTAAACTGAAAGAAATATATTAAGAAAAAATATTAGAAATTATTAGCTTACTTGAATTGCTGCATTTTCATTCGATGCTGATTGTGGACAACTAAAATCATCTGACTTTTATATTTATTTCGAACATTTTCTTATTTACCTGCATTTGATATCTAACTCAATAAGAACAATATCTTTATTTGATTTTCTGCAGCCTGAACGAAAAAGAAACAGAATCATATGAAAAATATGATTAAATATTAAGTTTCTGGTTTTTACTTTGTCTCATTTGTGAGCGTTGTTTTTTCATTGTGTTTACAAGTTCTAAAAGTATAAGAAAAAGACATGTGCATTTTTTATTGCAGTCGGAAAAATGAATATGCAATGAATACTATCTATTTTATGTATAATAGATCCCGAAAAGTAACGAATAGTACGCATTGTGGGTTTTTATTACAATGAATACAGTTCAATTTTTCTAGAGGACACTATGAATTTTACCTTTTGTTAAATGATATATTTATCTCTACTTTCGACTTCGCTGTCTCACATTTATGTAAGTAGTGAGACGTCTAGTCGAACAGAAATGAAGAAAGGAAAAGAAAAAGAAACAACCTTCGTTTGTTACGTATTTAATTCCATGGAAAAGGGAAGAGAACGAAAGAAAAGTTGATTTTGGTTTTTTCCCGCTGATTCATATTTATCAATAGGGAAGAAATTAGTAATACTACTTAGTTTAGTATTCATTTATCATTGGCCCTACATTGTTTTTGTATCTTTCCTATGTTTAGTAATCTTTTTCAATCGTTCTCTAACTATTTAATTGAAACAGAACAATGTTTCATGATATTTTGTCAATGAAATGTAATCATCATATTCTAATTTCTCTAGATTTCTGTATGTGAATCACTTTTGAATTATTGAAAACACAATACTCTCTTGAGTATTAATATAATAAAAACTAGACTTAGAGTCCCAAACCTAGCAGGAGATCAATGATGAATGAAAAAGAAAAGTAAATTAAATGTCACTTACACCATGCACTAATGAATAATAATTCCAATATTATATAATTGAATTTTTCGTTGGATGAAATTAAATAATAAATGCAAAGTTTAGGACGAAACTCAATTTTTTAAAATGTAGATTTCATAGAGAAATCTTCTGAACTGTTATTTGGATGACCAAACAAAAATTTACTATTCCGACTTCATGTAACTATCACCGCGATGGCGTCACAATTTTCTGTTTTGCTTTTCTTCAATTCTATCATATAATCATCTTTTTCAAAATAAAACACATCATTTGAATATTAAAAAGTAACAATACTGAACATCTAGTTCATACATATTTTATGGGAGGTTAAACTTATTTTTGAAAGAGTAATATCTAATCGAATTCTACAAAAATTTATTTCATTGAAAATTAAAGATTAGTTTGATAATTTGAAAAAAAAACACTGTTTCATAGCTAATGAGAATAGCACAAGGTTAGAAGTGAAAATACATTTTGTATTAGGAATCAATTTTGATTTATAATTGTTGTTTTTTAATGAAATAGCACTGTGAAGAAGTGTTGAAATAGATATTTATGACACCAATGTATAATTTACTTTGCACTATGACAAACATATTAGCAAAGATTCATCACGGCCATGAAAGACATTCTTAGGGAACTCTTCTTGATTGACAAAGTACGATAGATTTCATTTTTATACGACTGAAAAACTATATATCAATGAAGTCTTGATCTAGAACATAAAAAACTTTTATATTGTTATTCCTCGAGGATCAAGTAAAGCGATGATCGCAAACTATATCTCAGAATCTATCGATGCTTGAAAGGATCACAGTCTAATTAGTAAGAGCAACTACATAGTGTTTCTCATTTTAGTCCTAATGAAATTGCGTTAATAGTATTCTTCCTAGATATTCATAGAAGCTTAAGATAATTGCGGGAGTAAGTCGACATGTTCTAGTTAGAAAATTTATTTAAATATCACATTTTAAATACAGAAAGATTTTCCGAACATACTGTTGAATAATGATCAAAAAAGTAATCTAGGTTATTTAATTCTATTATTCGATCTTAATGGCAGATTGATTCAAAGACTCAATCAATAAATAGAAAACTGTTTCACGCATTTATTTGAAATATTCAGATGTCGGTAACTCAATTTTTGAACGAAATCAGGTCGAAGTTGTTGTTATATGAAAATAAAATTAGTATATTATATATATATATATAGTAACGTCTAAAATTACCAACGCAAATGATAACTAGATGATATTCGAGTTGCACTCGTATACGAAATGCGATGCGAGGTAAGAATACAGATCTTCACGAAAAATCTTCAATTCAGAGAAATCTTGAATACTTTTTGTGTCGACATGATGAAATTCATCACTGAGCAAACTCTATTCTTACTTAGCGATACATTCTTAAATATCGATTTCGATTGATCGATTAATTATCTCCATGCTTCATTATCTTAGATCAGCTGTAAGTGAATAGACTATAGTGGCTAACAAATGTTCATGGCGCCACTTTAATTATCTCAATAAATTTCTTTCATTTTCGCCATTTTGGAACCGCATCTGTGAGTAAACAGAATATCAGATTAAAGACTAGAAAAAAATATGTCGGAAGTTCGATCTCGATACTTTCATCTCCCGTTTCAATGAGTTTTCTATGATTTTCGGTACTCGAGTTGATCGCATCACAAAGCGACCAAAAAGATGCGCACGTCGAAAAAGCAAAAGCAAAAGAAAACACGCGACGGACTACATAAATGCTGTGCTTCGCGCCGCATTAATAATAATAATAATAAGATGATGTGCTGGATTTTTTGTATGAAAATCATTCTAATTAGTTCGTTGCATATCTTTTACATAGTAACTTACATAATGTCAATAATATATATCTACAGAAAGCGATAGTATCGAATATTATTTAGAAATACTTTTTTTTTTATAATCAATCATATTTGTTTAAAATAAGTCAATCAACAAATTAGTTCATCAAAAATATTGATCATTTTCTGAAACTTTCGATTTTTTTCTATGAGTAATTTTAACAAGATTGTAAACTAAAGAAGGCCAGTCTTCATGTATTGCCAAACAAGTAGTTTAACTTAAAAAAATAGAAGTTGTACTGATTATTTAAGTTAAATTCAATGGAAGCTGATAAACATACAGTGTGAAAAGTGCATAGAAAATGGATTTTTCTTTTGAGTGTCCTCTTTGTTGGCAGTAGCTGATAATTTCATGTTAATTCAGATTCAAGATATGTTTAGTCGACTTGATTAAATGTTTGATAGCCAGATAACTAGAACAGTACGGTTATCTATTAGTTCTTGGATGGTTGATGACGTGCATATATGATATGACTCATGAGCGTTATAATCGCGTGAAACTAATGCAATCACTTATAATGCTTACTTTTTCGACATCTTTACTTATCTTATGTTAGTAATAGAAGATTGAGTGATATGAAAACAGTTTACTAATCATAGTCGTCATTGTTTTTCTTTTTTATATCGTACTTGAAGAGATGAAGATCTGTGCTTACGTCGTTGTTATTTTATGATAAATGATTTACAATTTCAGAAATCTCAGCAAAAGATTTATACGATACGATCCAATGTTGCTCAGTCTTGCAAATATATTAGATAAGATATAGATAGAGAAGTATTAATATTAAAAAAGTGTTAAAAGGACTTGAAAATGTGCTATATTTAGAAAGCATTTTTCTATATCAATTTATGGATCAGTAATCAAAATTATGATTGTATTTAATTATCTTTCATTTCTATTCGAATAGTTAATGTTCTTTGAGAAGGAATCTATATCCGTTTAAGTGTCTCTCTTGTCTTGAATTAATTGAAAAAAATTAATCAGAATAATCTGCAACTCTCAAAATATAACTTGATCCCGATTATATGAATATAAATTCTTTAAAAGATAATAAGGTCACAATGATTGACCATTACTTGCATTTTCTCTTCTACCTTATTTGTCACATACTTGATACAACTGAAGTTTCTTTCCTCGATGAACTTAGATAATGCTCGACTTGTTTAAGAGCTTTTAAAAATTCAGATAAAGATCTTCATCTGTACATTACATTTCGAAACCGCAAAAAAAATCGCTACTATACGCACTTTCTAATGTGCCCAGAAACATTTTTCAGTGGTAGTGACCTTACTACAATTGAGAAATGTAGGTAATTCTTCACTATCTCTAACAGAAACATATTTTTTCCAAAAGAAAAAATGACTTAAATAATATTGATGTTGATGAAGAGAAATATTTCAAATATACTGACATATGCTTTGCTTTGCTTTTATAACTGCATACTAGTTCTTGAAATATATCCAATAGACAGAACTATTACACAGTCGTATGTACAAGAAAAAAAATAGCAATGCGAAAACTGAAAGTTTCATTTAGAAAAAAAAGATTCCTTCAAATTCCAAATAACCTTTAGTTATGCTTATACCACATGATTCTGAGAGTTGCCTCTTCACTGATTGAACGAATTCATTCGAGTTACAAGGTAAAATAAAATGTATGTCGTCATGTACTGTTAGACTATCAAATGTGCAGTCTTTCTTCGGTTTCTTTTTTGTTCCTTCGCATACTCTTAATCTACTCAGTCGCATATGTTGTATTTATTGATTTCTAACTATTGTTTATTTTACTTGATTATTCTGTACTCAGTTTGTGTTTGGCAACAGATAAATGAGTCAATTAATAGCCGAGAATAAACTAACTTGAAACAGTTAGATCTGAGAAGTTTCTCCGTCTGATGTCCTTCAAACATAGATTCTATTAATCAGCAATTTTATCTGACACTTAGTAATTACATACGTCTACAAAAGAAATAATATACTCGATGGAGAGTAGACTTCGACTATCTCTTCAAAGTATCTCATAGTATGCATTACGTATCGCTAAGTCAGACACATTGACAGCATTTTATATTATTATAACTTGGCAAAAAATAATCAGAAGACTAAGTCCACTAGATCAAATTTATCAAAAGTTTATATTTCTTGTATGTTCTGTTTTTATAAAGTTTATCACGCCTTATGTATTTAACGTTTTTCTTTTTTATTTATTTATGTAAATGTCTCAATGTGTACTTGATGATCAATGATCTTCATATGACTGATTAGATCACCATAAGTTGCTATGTCTAGTTCTCTTTGATCCAATTCTTTATTTGATGAATGGCATTATCATGATTAGTCTTGAGAAAATGTTGTTGGAAAAGGAAGAGTTGGAGACTAAGTCAATATAATTTAGTTTTTGTTTTGTTCCTTTTCCTTTTTATTGTTGTCAAATAAATGGCACAAGAAAAATATTAGATCCTAACGATTATTTACTGTATTATACGTCGAAAAAAATAACGAACATGTTATCAAACTTGACATTTGACAAGATCAAAATCTAACTAGAATAAAAACATTGTATCACTCAGTAGGAATGTTAAAAATGAGACTTCATATTTTTCTTATTTTTCTTCTTTATTCATCAAATTGTTTAACAATTGATCATGATAAACAATGTTCTAGTCGAGATACCTGTTCCGATTCCACGTTAAAATCTCCATCGATCTATGGTGATGAACCATTTATTCAACATCGAAATTGTTTTTGTGATTCTGTCTGTCAAAAATATGATGATTGTTGTAATCAATTAAATTTATTAAATTTAAATAACTACGAGTGCATCGATTTTCTTTCACCAACAAATCTTAAAAATTTTCTTATGTTCAATCCGTTATCGGTATGGATGCGTACTAAGTGTTTATCAATTTATGTTGGATCATCTTCTGATATTCGATGTCGAAATTTAAATAAACAAACATTTATAGAAAATCCGCTACTATACATTCCCGCTACAAGTGTACAAACCAATATAACTTATAGAAACTATTATTGTGCATATTGTAATAATGATGCAAATTTTAATATAAAACTTTGGGAATATAAAACGAATTGTGCTGGTAATGCAACTGGTTATGATTATACGATTCTGAGTAAAGAAGAACAAGTTGATTATTATATTCATAGTTTAACACGAAATTGTTCAAAAACAATAAATTATCCACGTGTTGGAGGTACTAGCCAACCTTCGGTATTCATTCGGCCATGTAAAATAACCGTTCCATCAATTTGTCCACTTGGAACATCAGATGATTTAAGTCAAAAATGCTCTCAATCTAATACAGCCTACCGATACGATATCATTTCAAAGGTGACTTATCGTAATTCATATTGTGCAAAATGTCATAATAGAAGTGATAGTACAATTAAATGTAAGGATCCTATTTTACGTTCAAGTATGTCTCCAATGAGCCAAACACGTGTTCCTTCATTATCAATATTATTTGATCCAACTCTTCTTGAACGCTATTTAAATTATGATTCAGAGAACAATGCAACAACTGAAAGGATCTATTCATTGAGTTATACTTGTGAGAAATCAAATGAACTCTATAATTTATTTTTAAAAAAATGTTCACAAATTATAAATTCAAGTAAGGAAATAATTATTTCAATGAAATGTTCATATCCAGTACAAACATCAGAAGATTATACTCGATATAGTAACGGAAGTTTGTATCTGATTACTCAAGCAATCTTGTTAAATAGAGATGAGTACGTATTAGTTAATGATCATCGAATTGTTTTTTGTGCTGATCGATTGAAACAGAACAGACCAACATTTTCGTATTATCGTAATATTATAACACTCATTTGTACGTCAACATCGCTTGTTTGTTTGATTATATTTGTAATAGCCTTTTGGTTGATTCCTTCCTTACATAATCTTCCGGGAAAATGTCTTTTACTTCTTTCAATTTCAATATTTATTGGTCAATTAACATTTATTTCGACTTCTGATCTTGTTCAATATTCTTCTTTTTGTTTTACATCTGCTATTTTCATTCATTATTTTTATTTATCATCATTTTTTTGGTTATTAATTATAGCAATTCAAATACATTCAACATTTAATTATCAACTTATACGACGTGAAAACAATCATAAAGAAAAATATCGTCTAATAGCTTATAATATTCTTGTTTGGTGTTCAACTGGAATCATTATTCTTATTGCATGTCTTATACAATTTACAAATCCTGATTCAAATTTTTCGCCTAACTATGGATATGTATTTTGTTCAATATCAAAATCAAATGCAATGATTTTATTTTTTCTGGTACCTATTGGATGTTTATTGTTAATTATTGCAGCTTTATTTATTAAAACTATCTTAGCAATTCATCATTCACATAAAATGGCTCAAATAGCAATTGCATCATCATCTGCATTGAATAATAACTATAACAATCACATATTTATCTACACTCGTTTAGCGTCATTGATGGGTCTACAATGGATTTTATTGGTTATTGCACTTATTATTCAACAAACTTGGTCTTGGATTATATTTGAAATAATCAATTCTCTTCCGGGAGTCTTCATTTGTTTTGGATTTTTATGTTCACAAAGACTTTGGAATCATATTAAACAAAGAGTGATGACAAAAATAATAATAAGAAGACAATCGTCGAGAAGTAATACAACATCATCAGCACTGATGACAATGACATTTCAACGATAACAACTATGAAGAACGTTTGTTATTGACTCTTGTGTGGAGTTTATTATTAACAAATCTTTTTTATGTAGAAACAGTAAAAGAGAATATTGCAGTTTTACTTTTTCGATGCCATATAAAAGAATCGTAAATAAATCAGTATATCGTATATTTTATTTTTGTACGGTTTTAAATCTATGAATTATTTTATTAACGATGGATTCGAGATAGAAAATATTTGAATTTAGCTTTTTGAGGAGAAAAAAACATAGAAAACGACTAGAAACTTACACATTGTCTCTGTTTAAATTTTAATAATAGTAGATGTTATTAAAACTGCTAGTAGGAAAGATCTACCATTATTGATCAATGACTTCGAATTTTAGATCATTGACATTAAGTAGATGTAAATGATCTGTGACTAATTTGAAAAGATTTTCTGTTTTCACCTTCTTGTATGTATATATATATATACTATAGTTTTGCGTTTTTTCTCCAATAAATGCTTTTGGATTCTTCGAATACAACCAAAAACTGGTTAGAGAAGCTCAATTTACAATTTTATATATAGACAAGTGTGAATCAGAATAAGTGTTTTGATAAATGTTTCAGCTATTCTGATCCTAGAATATTACAATTGTAATAGTGAGTACCGCTTGTATAAACTGGTAGACTTAATATATTAATTTCAACATAAAAATAATTTAAAAAATACCCTAAAATATCTATTCAATACACTATTCTCGTTAATAGAAATTTGTAAATTCGTTTTTAGACTTTCTGAGTTCAAAAGGTATTTACCAACTGCAAAGCTTTTCTATTCATTTAAAGTACTATTATGAGTATCCGAATGAATTTCTTGTGAAAAATATAATGCAGATGTATATTAACATGTAATTTTATGAAATTGTGAAACATCTGACTCATCAGTCAGCTAATCCTTACCAGTATATTCAAATAATCATATATTTAGATAACTTACAGAAACATCAAACTCAAAGCAGTTTTCTTTAAAAATAGTGTTGTATTGATATCATTTGATTTTGTTTATAGATTGCATGATACAGCGGTTAAACAAGAATAGATGCTGTCAATAGAAAATGCAAAATTTCTATTGCTACAGATACATTGCAAAATTCTTTTTATGTTATTGTGTTACTTATCGTTAACACGTAAACACGATTGCATGGCTAGTTGTGTGAAGTCTATCTGATTGAATGTTTTTATTTTACACATTTTGAATAACATCTTTCTAGACTAAGTATCTATCGGTAGGCAAATAATCAAAAGAAATAATTCAATTCAATTCAATTCAATTCAATTCAATCAAACCAATAAGATTATCGTATAAGATACAAATGCGTACAACTGACTCTCTATCATTATCTAGTTATTTTCTAGATAAATTTAAAAATATAAACGATATAGATTTATTATTAATTAAAATTGTTCAAACGTAACATTCTACTTGATAAATTTTTACTTGAATTCTGAAAAAAAAATGTAAATCTCGAGGACAAACAGAAATATATGAAAACTCCGCCATTGACTTGTTCTTGTTACCTTCCTTACTAATAGTTACTTCTTTTTTTTTACTACAGGTAAATATAAAGTACACATGCGAACTTTACATGAAGAAAAAAAACGTTATTTCATATTATTGTCGAGTGCTGATAACACAGGAATTTTTCGATAAAAAAAGCATCTTTTTTCTTTTTACCTGAAGTTTTTTTTTTAAATAAAACTTCCAATCTGACAGAATATCGAAATTTTTTTCTTGGTAATTATTATGTTTTAGTTTGTAAACATAAATAGTTTCATAACTGGTCACATTCATGTTCAATATGACAAATTTATCGGCAACTTCTTCATGTGTTCTTAAAGAAGAAATCAGACGTCTTATTACTCTCTGTTCACATATATCGCAAGTCACTTCTCGTATACAACTTCGACATCTTTCAAATATTTCTTTAGGTGCGGAGTATATAAAATGCTCTCATCAGGAATTATTATCAATGGCTGAAAATATCGAAGGTTCCGCAATTTTACTTGAATCCCTATTAGCTACTGAAAAACGAAACTCAGCTTCTTTTCAAACAAAACTATCGAGATATCATTACAATCGAGACGAATTAATAATGTTACGTCAGCGTGTGACACCAAGTTTATCTATTCAGATAAAAAATTTATTAGATCAAGTTGTTGAACGTGAATGTAATCCTTCAAATAGACAGGACAGATATTTTCCGAGAAATATTAGAACGATATTAATTTAATATTATTTCTTGTTTTTGTTATGGGACATGAATAATATTGTGATTTGTCGATATTAATTGAAAATGTGTATAGAATTCAATGTTATTTATTGAAAAATATGTTACATGAACAATTTCTAATAGAAGACCAGAGTTGTAAGTCTCTACTCTTATTTTTGTTTTTGTAAGAGTTTAACTAAATTTTGATCATATAAATATTTGTATCGATTGAAATTGTAAAAAAAAAGAAATAAAACATGTACGTGATTTGTATAAGAGTTCATTTTTTTTGAAAAACAACTCTCACAGCCCAAAGTATCATAATACAGATGAAACCTTTGATTATCGGATGCTTTAATGTAATTGAACTATTAATGACTCGTGCAACACCTTCATTTTGGTCAGATGAAGTGAATGAAAGTAATTGTTGTAGAAATTCTTGTTTGTTTTGATCATCAGGTGTACTATTGTCATTTTTTAAAGCTCGAATCAGATGATTGATAAGTTGTATAGATTGTTTTCGATTGAGTCGTTTTAAATCATCACGATTTTCTTCAATCCAACTATCAAAATTACCCCAAATAGTATTAAATGTTGTCATAGTAGGATTTGATGCAATTGTATTTAGTGGATTAATGAGTGGAGTGTTGGTCGGAGTTTCTCCTACGATATAGTTCTGTTGTTTTTTTTTTATCTTAAGTAAATATCGAAAAACTTACGAGGATTTGTTGCTAATTTTTCTTCAATAATAGTTATTTCTCTAATTAATTTTTCTAATGCATCATCAAATTTATCTGCCTTAGAGAAATCAATCCAAACATTTGCACCAACAAGAAACTCTAACCAATCTTCTAATGGAAACGGTTCTTCCATAAAACATGGAATGAACTTGATTCTTTTTATAGCAATGTCTTCAGCTTCTAGAAAATATTTAAAAAAATGTTGTATGTGGTTCAATAGAAGAAAACGACTAACCTTTTTTGCACCAAAAACTATTATCGTATTCCCGATTGATACACATAAGCACAATATATGAATTTCGGATTGCTGTTGCCATTCCATCAATAAAATTATCATGCATATCATATACATCTATCCATACTTTGTATTTTAATTGCTATCAATGATAATAATTAGATTGATTAGTCATAGAATTAGATAATTATTTACTTTGAGATGGTTACGAATTTGTCGACAAGTATTCTCACATGATCTATTATAACTTATCATAATATGTTGTTTTTTTGTCGATATTTCTTTAGTCGTTGTGGCTGTTACTAGAAATGAATAGAATATTAAAAAGCTTGCAACCATTTTTTTTTGATAGGTACCTGTTGATGAGACTACGCATGTTTGTGCACTATCGACTTGTGAAGATAGTTGTTCGATAGTAGTAGCATCGATGAACTGCTCTTCAGATTCGAAGTCGATTACAGGACTTGTACTATTGAACGCAATTGAAATACGTTTGCCAGATGTATCATCTGTCGATACATCGATATGGTCAGTATTGTTAAAGTTTTCTGTTGAGAGATTGCCTTCAGGCTCATTCGATAGAGCAAGAGCTTCTTTAATGAGAAAATCCTCCTTTGGAAAACCTATTATTATAGATAAGATTATATTGGTATATAATCAATAGAAAATGACAATATAATGGCGTACTAGTATTACTTGGTTGTGCACAAGAAGCCACCGATTCACTTAATTCATTGATTATATCCTTGATGAATAGATTTTTATTATTAGTACTCAATTAAAAAAATGATCTTACTCGAAGTACAGGCATATCGGCGTTACTTTTAGATATTGTATCTTCGTCGCTCTCTGAAGATAACGATGTCATATTCGGTGTACAACGTAGACAGCTACGGGACGCTTCGGCAGTAGTTATCAAAATAGCAAAGGAGCGAAAAAAAACCAGAAGTGATGTGTTTGAATTTTTCCACCGACGAACCACTCTAGTTAATTGTTCTTGCAGCATAATACATAAATGTATCAGAAACGATTCTGATGTCGCTCTTTTTCAGCGAATATCACTGGAAAGTTTGAGAACTGTATAAATTTTTTCTCTGATGAGATTTATTTTATCCAAAAATAAAAATAAAAATATAAAATTATGTAATATTAAACAATAAACTTATTTGTTATAGATTTGCAAGGCAAAGCTGATGTAACTATATAGTTTCTTTCTTGGTATCGACTAATTTATAAATGAAACTATTTCAACAAACAATAGGAAAATATTTAGCCGAACATAAAGTCACTACAAGTTGTATTCCTAATTAACTCGCGCTATACGCCAGATAAAATAATCAATCTATATTATACAAATCACTCAACAACTGCAATATCTTTCTTTCTTGTTTGATTCTCATGTTATCATTGCGTGTATGAAATTCAGGGAATTCATAGATGCTATCGTTAGTTTTTGGACTTTAAACTAATTTTTCACGTCATTTACATGAAAAAAGTCAGAAAAAACAATCGGTAAGAAAACAAAAAAAAATATGGACGTTTACAAATGAGATGGTTGTTCTCATTTTCTGAATCATTTTTTCGTGAAAAACAGATAATGAACTACGATTTTCGCCATTGACAGGAAAACGCTTGACAATATATAACTATGTTAAATTCATAATGTTTCACATCAGTCACTAATGTGAATTGTTGTGCTGATGATTTTGTAGCCAATATTAGATGTATGTATTCCATTGTGCTTGCTCTTTCTTCTGAAGAGGAAATCAATCTGTAAAAGCTTACGCAACGCCAAAATTTTCCGCGTTTGTCATCAAGACGACATAAAGATTTTCCGAAGGTTTGCGAATTCGATCTGATCGTTATGACTTTCTTCGTGGCAAACCAAGGCTGAAATGATGAACCATTTTTTATTGACAATTAATGCTCATTTTCAATTTTTATTTGCACTACAGAGATTAGGGTTTTTAGAAATTTTTGTTTTTCAAAAAGAAAAAATCGACATGACACTATTATCTTAGGGGTATTGCAATGAAATTCTCTTTCTCAGAAAATCGAAGGCTCTTTGAAAAAAAAAATAATATGAAAGCATTCTCCAAGAAAATGTCACTTTTATTTAGGGATTTTCTTGATTTTCAGTATCAGTACACCTGCTTTCTAATTAACATCAGCATTGAAAGAATCGCCAAATATGGAACTGGCACATGATAGATAGTGATAATCTACATCATCTTCAGTGTATTTTCTGAAAATTATAATTAAATACCTTTTAATTATGCCATCTCGTTATGCTTCGATAAAAAAATCGATGTTCAAACTTCTTACCTTTTTGCAATGTTCTTAATCAGAAAAACTGAAACTCCTCCCAATTCAACCAATAATAGATATTTCAAAAAATCCATACCATTCGGCATTGGTATTGAATACAATTTAGTACTGATTTGTATCAGCATAAACAATGGTCAATACCAATGCCGTCCAATTTCAGTGCCAGTAAATAGCAGTCAATACCAATACCTCAATATCATGTCGGTAGTGTGACAGTCCTAGTCAAGAGACAAACAATAGTTTTCAGTTTTAAATGTGAATAATAATATTTCTCTGGTCAGTCTTCGCTATACTTGATCCATATATTGTGAAGAATAATACTGATTATTTCAATGGTATACAAACTAACATGATTGATAAAAAATGAATGAAAAGTAGCTTTGAAATTTCTATACGATTCGAGAATATACTTTAATTTAATATCATAGTAAGTCTAGTAACTATTGCAGTGACAATGCTGGATCTGATTTTTCCCATGGGTACAAACTTTATCAGAAGAATTCTTCTCTATAGACAGTTCTTTATGAAAATTTCTGTCTAAATGAACCAATCTCAGTATTCGATCTATTTTCAAGGAGAGAAAGAAAGGCTGGAAACTGAAAGTCATAAATTTCGACTATCGAACTTTTATAACCTATAAAAAAGATCTGGAAAAACTTTAACTGTATGGTTTTATATTAAGAATGAATACAATAATCAGTGTACCAGTCTATCAAGGCTTTTACACTCAATTTAGAGCTACTTTAAAAAGACTCATAGAATGAACTTATTTCATATTGACAATAATATAGGATGATAATAGACTACTTGTCATTGTGTTGTTTTATGAATAATAAAAACCTTAACATATTATCTGCTTTTTATCAATAACTAATGAGAAAGTAGAGGTAAACATCACTTTTCTCTTGGATCTGTGTGAAGGAATAGATGTTTTAAAAAGAAATAATCACAAGAAAATCAGTTTAAAGACACAACAGCAAAAACGACGAGTAACATTTAATTGTAGAACAAAGATAAAAAAAAATTCATCATCATCTTCTTTTCTTTTTCGAGGTTATATATCCACGAAAAATAAAAAGAAACTTTGTGACCAGAACAAAGTGATCAATGAGTATAGATCAATACATAAACAAATACGTAGTAATCGGTGGTAATATCTAAAAATAATAATAATAAAACAGCACAGCACAGCACAACAATTCATTCTAAATTATACTATACTTCTCATGTCTATTTCAGAGTAATACTGGCAGACAATGAGCGGGAGAAAAAACTAACGGTCTACCGAAATTGCGGAATTCATTTGGCCAATTGGAGCTTTTTGCAGCGTCATCTAGCTGGTAATTCATTTTCTGGTCACGACATCTATTAGCGATGCTCCTAGCTCTGTAGTATTGATCAGACATTTCAATCTGTAATTACAGTCATGATGCTATTTCATTTAATGTCAGAACTCAATTGGACTACGAAACTGTCGGTTAGATGCATTCTGTAAGTGGTGTTGCTAAAGCCACGACCTCGTCTTACATAAACTCGATTTAGAGGGAAATTTTAAAAAAGCAAGACTTTAATCCGATATTTAAGAGTTAAACTGTTCATTCTCTGTTGAATAGGGATCTGCGTCATTAATATGTTTCCCATAAATGTTTTCATGGTATAGCTAACGTAACGTAAAGGCTGAATATTCAAACTGATATTTCACATGCAGCTTTTTCTTTGGCACGAAATGTACAATAAAAAAAACTATCGGAAATCATCAGTGACACACTTTTCAAGTATATTAGGATTCAAAAAAAACAGATTAACTGATTAGTAAGATTGAAAATTAGAGCGAAAGTAATATATATACATATATATATATATGAATAAAATATATTCATAACAACATATTTTAGATTATAATGTTAAAGTTATCAGAGTGATGGCTCATTGAAATTCATTTTCGAATAAAATCCAGTAGATTCACTCATTCGAAATGTATTATTCTTTTGTATCAAACAAGATAAAAATGTTGTCTTCTCTAGAGAAATTCGATAGTAACTGTAGTCTAGAAATTTATTTTACTAATTTCAGTTGTCTTGAATAGTTTAAAGAAACAAAACCAGGAAGAATTACTAGAATTTACCAATATTGTAGCAACAAAGCTTACGTATGCCTACTACATTCTTTAGTAGCTAATTAACTTCTGTTCTTTTAAAATTTATGTAATTGGAAATTTCATACGAAATATTTCAACAACACGTATCCATTGTCAATTATGGTTCCTCTGAAAGTATATTTCATTTCTATTTCTATCTTGTTAATCTATTTGTTGTTCGTCAATAGACAAATGATTGATTATCTTTTGCCAAAAATGTTTATTTTCTTGTGTAATCCAACCATATCATGGTATTTTTACTACTGATCAGCAACCTACTTGAGGGTGTGGGTGTGGGTGCGTTGGTATGTGACAAGGAGAACTATGTCACCACCCACACCCAACAATCTATTGACACGAAGTCAACAGTATTCAAATTAGAAGCAATAGAAAATATTCATGGCCTGATGTTTGCGTTGTATGTATGCATCTTGCATTCCAGCTGGATGTTTTATATTCATCTATAGTAAAAAGAAAAAAAGATGTAGAATTAATGAATTTGATAAAAGTCAAAGATGTTCAACTGATTAGTTATACTAAAATCAAGGTCAGCATATTTTTATCTGTACTGACTTTATCTGTTTTTTTTCGAGAGAATTAAAGATTAATCGTGCTCATAGGTACAAAGAATTTCAGAAAATAAATACAGATCAAAAAAAGGAATCACAACACACTGATACAAAATTTGTTCTACACGTATAATAGAAATTTCAAAAATATTAATATCAACAATGTTGAAAAACCGATCAATAAATGCATGAGCAACATTTCCCAACTGATCAGTAGGTGTTGTTCTTATAACATTATTGGTGCATCTTAAATGTTTGATAAATGCATAACTTGTGGATTGATGCTTAAAATACCAGATCACAACAGCATAGCATTTACTTTTTTTTCTGGACATTTGTTATTTTTGAAAGAAATAATATTGTTCAGTTGGAACCCATTCGACCATATAGCAATGAGCTACATTTAACAATTCCACGTAAAAAGCGACAGTATAAAGAAAAAGTATTATCAATAATTGCATTGAATTGAATCTGGTATAAATTTTTAAAGTAAACGAAATAATCTCGATGAACATTTGGGTCTAAATATGACATGTCGTAAATTTTTTCATCAGCGAATATATTATTAATAGTAGTTGTTGGTTGTTCTTAAGAAAATTGATAATCACGTAATAAATAAGATTTAAATATTTGATAAGGAATTCTCACATTACCTCTTCTACTTCTTTTTAATGATCCTAAGAAGCTTTCATCACCAAAACATGAATGACTAAATAAAGCTCCATGTGGCATTACTTGTTGAATTAAATATTTGTGAGCATGTAGACTATATAATTCAAGTTTTTTATCCTCATATACCATCGAAATATTCTTACGATATTCCATCAAGAAGTGGTTTGACCAAGGGGGAAAAAGCGATTTATGAGTTTCATGATTTTTCTGAGTTTAGCTGATTTAAAATGAGTTTGAGAAAACGAAAAATTTGCTAAACTAACTAAAAGCTATTCCAAATCATAGATTATTACTGAAAATCATTCAAAGGCAACGAAACTCACGCAAACTCATTCCAATACAGTTAATTTATATTGATTGTAAGTTGAGTTTTACTGTGATTTAAATCAGCTTTTCCCCCCTTGGGTTTGACACTAGCAACATCTTGTATGTTTTCATAAAAGTCCATGACCCGAAGAGCAACGAAATAAAGCATAAAATGAGCACTAACATTATTAGAACCAAACATAAGTATTAATGGAAAGGACACAAATAATAAGAAAAAACGATAACCTTTTGACTTCCAGAAATTAATACAAGATAATGAAGTTATACTTAAACATCTGATTGGTGTGATGATCTTTTCGGTGAAGGTCGAGAGATTACGGAGACCGTATTTTGTAATCCAAATTCTCAGTATCGAGCACATGTGCGTGCTAAAATAGTAGAAGATAGAAAATAGAACACGAGAATTAGGCTATACGCCGCTGGGTCATTCAATTCGCTCGATTGGCTATTAGATGTTTACACAAATCAGGAAAAACATCTCCAAATCTCAGCCAATACGGATCCACTAGTTCAAGCTAACAATATGGTAACAAAACTAAAAATTCTGCTTTATCAAAAATATAATTCTTAACTTACCTACAACACAAGTACATATAATCAAATGGACAATTCATTTTCATATCAAAAAATAAAGATAACAATGGTGATTTACCATGAAGGTGACCGCACATATCGTCGCACGACATTTCGTCGCGTTCACTTCGTCGCAATCATTTCGTCGCATGTCACTTCGTCGCAGAAAAATTCTTTTCGTTCTGCTGCCCCTATCTATTTATCGCTTCTCTCTTAATGAATTATATTTTTGTGTATAACCAATGGAAATAACATAAATTAATTTCTGTGTATTTTGTGCGTACTAAACACACAGCATCATGAGGAATAGATTCGGAAAAAAATATATAAACAAAACTAAAGAGAAAAATGATCTAAAGAATTATGTTTGCTGCTATATCAGAATTGATCTAGTTGAGACGAGTCGAGGGAGTTGACCAGTCGAATTTTAATGTCAATTTTTAATTAGATAATAGGAAAACGACCGGGTTTCGGAGCATGACAGTGTAATATTGGCGCTGAGAGAAATGTGTTGAAGGATAAATTAGCATAACAACGAGCTTCATTGGTAAATAATTTTTATTTCAATTAATTGATTGATGTTCAAAAAGATTTTAGCTTTAGAATCTCGATTCTGAGATCGAAGAATAAATTTCATCGTTATTGTACGTTTTTTAGTATAGATGTAACCTTCTTGGAGCATCATTGCTTTTTCTTTTATAAAAAAACAGTTTTTCTATTTGAGACATTTTGCTTGAAAAGCAGTACGCAATGAAAGTTGAAATTAAGAAGTAAAATGTATTTTTTTTTATTTGGCATGGTTCCATAGTTAAGAATGTCGGATCAGTATTTTTTTAGTTTAGATTACACTGAAATTCATGAAGCTAGCGACGAACCTGATTAGTTTCCATTAGTTTTAGTATCACAATTAAGTGAGAATAATATTTTTTATTGATCCTTTTACCGAATTAAAATTATATGTCTTAGCACAATTATTTCTCTATCGCTTTTGTACACATATCTTGCAACTTTTCATTTAATTTATGTTATTTCCATTGGTTATACACAAAAAATAATTCCTTAAGAGAGAAGCGACAAATAGATATGGGCGAACAGAACGAAAAGAACTTTTCCGCGACGAAATGTTCTGCGACGAAGTGATCGTGCGACGAAATGATTGCGACGAAGTGAACGCGACGAAGTGTCGTGCGACGATATGTACTAGTGCCTTCAAGGGACTCACCAGTGACTTTGCGAATGAGAGTCGACTAGGGCACCCACACCCTAAGCGCGTGTACCGTACACGTACGGTGTCCGTGCTGACTGTTCTAAGTGCACGTTATACGTACCAAGAAGAACTCTCCAATAGGGAGGATTCCTAATCAGACAATGGCCACAAGGACTATATATAGACGATAAAATCCGTTAGATGAATCATTTCGTTAATTTACCTAACGAATGAGATATCTGGTTTTTTTCCAGGCGCTACACTTCTTTTTTGATATTTTTCTAAAATATTCGATATTTTTTTCAACTTTTTTTAAGTTTACTATTTTTGTTTTATTTTTTTTAAATTTTATTATTTCTATGATTTATTTGTTTTGAAATTCTTTTTCCTTTTTTTCTGAATAAATTTCGTCTTAAGCGGAATAGACGATAATAGGAAACAGCTGAAGATATTTTTTATAGCTACAAAAAAATGCTTTTTTATATCGAGCAGAAAAATCAGATTGGGTGTCCAAAACCGACCAATGAGAAAATTACCAAAGTGCATTAATGCACTTAGCAGCACACGTACGTCCTGCTGGAGGTACGCTTACGGTACACGTTCCGCACGCTTGGTACGCGAACTCCGCGTGACGGGGGTACGCGTACCGAGACCTACCGCTCGACCTGGGTGGATCAATTTTTGATAGATGTCACTTGATTATGTTTTTCATTTAATTTTTTTTTCTATCGATAATTAATCAAATTGAACAGTAGGAAAAAAACAATTTGATATTAATTGAGTTATACTATTATGGTAAGAACGTCATTCGTTGTCGTTTTCATTAGGGTGTCAAAGAGACCTGGCAAATTTATAAAACGGAATTAAAGAATGAGATGAACGTCGCTATGTCGAAACATCAATCAGATAGCTCAATTCAATGATAATTCGTCTAGTCTAGTCTGTTTGATTCATAAGAATGATCATGATTCAGAGTTTCATTTTCATTCATTGTTCTCCTGATAAAGCCACTTATACTATCACCCATTATTACACAAACCAGCACCCATACCAAATCATATTCGCACTAGAAATGTACTGAGTAAAAAAAGAATATTATCGAAAATTAAGTCAAAATTCAAAACTATATAATGTTCTGAATTCTATTCCTTTTTTATTGAATGTCTGTTATATCGAAAATCATTTTTTAAAGGTCACAGACCTTCTTCCTCTAGTTTCTTTCTATATTGATTGTTTGAACTTAGTGCATGATGGTAATCATATTGTTTGTAATTTTAAAACCCAAATGACGCAGTTGTACTCAAAAAACAACAAAATGACGAAAAATTAAGGTTCTGTAGGCCATATCAGAAATGCAATATATTAAAGCGGGAAGAATCTAATTGATTGATTTTCGAATGTACAAAAAAGAACCACTTCAATTGGCTTCTTGCACAGTTTTAGATGGTTGCACTTAATATAGAGATACTAGCTTGTTTAAACAGACTAACTTCAAATTAACGAAGTTTAATCGATATGCATATATTAATATCGAAGTTTTGGATAGTCTTGGTAAATAATCCATTGAATTTATTCGACGAAAAAAGTATATGTTAACTAGAAGTAATTCTATTCATTTAATATTTACAACTTCTTGTTAAAATTCAGCAATTGCAAGAACCTTTTTAAAACTCTTTGTTAATGCTGTTTCATTCGTTACGCCAACATACTTTTGTAGTACTGATACTATATATATATATATATATGTTGAGAAATAAAAATGAATGAAGTAAATATAAAATTATTTAAAAATTTTTTCTTAAAGTAAAATATACTATCGTTATGTTTTTTAATCAAGATTTGATCTTTGTGATTGTACAAACAGGTTGAAAAATTAGTAGGCGAAGCTCAGTCACTCGAACATCTCGAGTTACGCCACTAACGTTTTTATTCAGGGAAAACTTTCTAATGGCAATAAAAAATCTTGAGCATGACAATAAAGAAAATTCTTACCCAGGTCGTGGACGTACGGCGGGAAACGGCCGGAAAGCACAGGAAAGCGCTGGAAAGTGGAAGCAGTATTCCAGTTGGAAGTTACCGGATTTTCTTCCTGTAGATTCCGATCAACTTCCAGANAAAAATATCGGTTAACTTCCAACTGGAATACTGCTTCCAGTTTCCAGTGCTTTCCGGCCAGATACGGTGATTTTTCCGCATCTTTCCGACCGGTTCCTACAGTATCCGTCCTCCAGAATCATTGACCTGGGTATACATGATAACCAATAGCTATTCCAGGAAAAAGCAGCAAAAAAGGATCAGAACAACGACTACACATGAACACCAGCCAGAAGATTAAATAAGACAACCAGAAAGTAGACCACCATAAAAACACATCGAAGAAGAAGCTATGCTAAAAAACATTTGATATTCATTTTGATAAATATTAATATGGAACTCACGGCCAGTATAGTTCAGAATAGATCTTCGAATATCTTCAAACTAAATTGAGAAATAAGCAAGTCTTTTTTCGACCAAAATGATTTGACTTTTACCCCACTGCAAATATTGATTATTTCATCTTCAGGACGAGATAATGCTTCGTGTTCACTCCCACCACCGACACCACTTATCTGTGTTACTATTATATCCATATCCATCTAAACAAAAAAAATTATTTAATACTTGTACATATGCATCTATATAGAACATACTAGTTGAAAGTTGTAATAACGGCAGAGCCCCTGAAGAAGTTTAATCACCATTGGTCGTGATATAAAGGTGTATGCCGGATATATCAAATTTTGATGCATTTTTACCATCGCCAAGTGGTGACGCACAATCCCACGAACGAACAGAATATCATTAGACTAAAACAAAAACAGTATTAATTTTAGTGTATGATCTGGTGAATGAAAAATACAACTTCTATAATTGCCATTTCCTATATCAGTTTAAACTCTTCGATATTCCAATGATAACTGAACAATTGTTATTTCGTCTTCTTCCTGTTACGATAAAGAAGAAAAAGGAAAAAAATCTTGTTCTCTTATCATTGGCTCATCGGAGAGGTTAAATAAATATCAAGAAATTATTGTGCAAGAGAAAAAACATCTTAGTTTGTAGGCTTATTCTGCAAGATACATACCATACTATTGAAGTTGACGAAGAAAATAAACGTAATGGTTTATCCTGAACAACCTGTGTTTCACACTCGAAACAGTGACGATATATTGATTGTAGCTGGTGGTCTATAAAAGAAAAGTGATGTTACCTTATATTTATATAGATAGAGGAAAATAGAATTTATCGATCAGAAAAGATTTTATTTTCTCTTTCACGTTATCTATTTTTCTTTTCCACGTTGTTTTCTATTTTTCGCTAACATTTACAACAGTTTATTGTCCGTATTCAAGCATACCCAGGCATTAAGAATTCGTTCGATTTTGTCTTCTATCATTTTTTCATTTGTTGTTTAGTAAGGTCAAATATACACCAGTTTATCGAAATAATCTGTAGGCTGAAATGAATTATAACGTCGAATATTCTTATTCACAAAGAAAAATTCACAAATGCAAAAAAATGTGAATTCTATATATGCCTGGAAAACATGATCAAGAGAAAATATCGATTCAACCTGTTCGATATATATATAGAAGAATTAATTGACTGAACAGTTAATCATTGTTCTTAATTTCACTGTGTATTTATTGTAAAATATATAAAACACTTTCAATCTATTGTTTCCATAGGGTTAAAATAGACAACAGATATGAAGTCGTTATTGAACTGTTGTATATCGATAAAATCGGAATACTCAAATTTATGATGAAAAACTGTATCAGTCACTTAAGCTTTGATACAGTTTCATTCAATTGAAATCGTATTTTATCATTCACTGAAACCAGTGGTCAGCGAAAGACTTTAAAAATTTAGAATCAAGATTCATATATATCTATCGAAGGTACTGCTTATTTGCGTAGTTATCTTTAAAATGAACGGAGTGTCTGTCAAAATCTAGTTACGATGCTCACAAATTCATGAAATATAATTGTGATGAGTGTATCTTGTCAAAGTGACTTAATTTTTTCAAAGCTCTCATCAGTTACACCTGTCGTAACAACTAGAACATATTTATATAATTACAAGCCATGCATCCAAATAATTAGTTTCTGATTCTTTTGACATATAAGTAATTGCGCCTTGAATATTCGAACATAGTTTTCGTACCTAATTCTGTATCAAATACAGAAAAAGTCATGATAATATTGAAAGACAAAGATTACACATTATTGATTAGTACTCATTATTAAACCTTCAAAGTTTGAATTTTCGATGGCTATAGTGCTAATGTTATTGTGGGTTATGTGTAAATTGCTTTGCATATCGACTAACTTATTTTTCTTCTTGTTGTTGAAATTAACTTAAATACGAAATACATGCACATTTCAGTGTCAAATTTAAACTTGTAAATACTTTTATTCCCCAGGCTAACAGATAAACGCTGAAACGCCATTTTGACTCATTGAGAGTGAAAATGGAAGAAAACACGCATTATAACGCGTTCACTTGAAAATTGAAAGAACTGAATGCGTTTCAACGCGTTTAGCCTTTTGTTAACGCATTTTAACGGATTGAAGTAACCTATTATGGCAAGTAGTGCGTTTTAACGCATTAAATAGAAGAATTAGGGAAAGAAATGCATTTAACTTAGAAATGCATTCGTTTTAACCAGTTAAGATAATTAACTGTTGAGTAATTACAAAAAATAAAAAATTAAGATTTAGAAAAAACTGTTTCCGAGTAAAAATCTTTGTAATGAATTTGATGCACTAGTTGAAGAGGAAATATTAAGTACGACCATATTACGATAGTATAACTACGAATGAGGAACATTAGATTTGGTAAATGCTTTATGCAGAATTTTAACAATAGTCTACTAAAAATGGCGACTAGTAACTTACCAAAACAGAAAGATAAGCTAAATACATAAGTTCACAATCAGCAATGTAGTAACAATCTATCAGTAATGATGATTGTCCTGAGTCCAGCTGATAAAATGTCATTTCTCATCCTCCAGAGCAAAGATCCCCCAAATTACAATTTTATACTTACATTTTCTGCTCAAAGAATGAATTTTTTTAATGAAAATTTGGAAAAAATGATAAACAGGCGGGGCCTGTCTATTTTAAGAAGCGTGCCTGGCCCGTGACAGGCTCGAAAAACAAGGCCTGTGCCTGTCTCAGGCAGGCAGGCAGGCCTGATGGCCTCCCAGGACGAGCTTTACGACGTCCGTATACGGTGAAATACGGGCCGTATACGGCCGTTTTCTGCCGTATACGACGGTAAATCGCCGTATTTGGCCGTATTACATGGCTCCGTATTACGATCGTAAATCTCCGTGTCGTAATACGGTGAAATACGATCAAAAACAACCGTAAAGCGCCGTATTTCGCCGTATAAGGCACGGAGATTTACGATCGTAATACGGAGCCGTGTAATACGGCGATTTACCGTCGTATACGACCGTGTATGTTCGACCTGGGCTGTTTTGACCTCTGGTATATATCTATTTGAAGATCGTCTATGCTCTATATCATTATTACCGAACCTAAGTAAGCTATTTGAGCGATGAATACGTTCGAAGATTCTAAAGCGGTGCGAAACTAAAGACATTTATATCGAGGAGCAGTCGGGCTTCACGTCAAAGAGACGACTTCAAACGCTTATTCTCAAGATTTGTGAAGATATTCGTTTAACAATCTCAGTGGCTAATAGACCTGCACTTGGAATATTCGTCGATTTCCCAACCCCTTTTGATAAGATGTGGCACCTCGCATTAATAGTCAACTTGTTGAAATTAGGTGCAACATGGTTGAGTGGTTATTTGCTTGGCACGTAATCACTATTTACTGAGTTCAAACCTCTATATCACCAGTCATATAATGACCTTGGACAAATCACTTACGTGCAATTGTCTCGGATATCTCTAATTCGTGAATGTATTAAGTGAATATTTAATATATATGAGAACCCTACCACGAGTTCGTCCCAGGTCGATCGTTCCGGCTACCGGATACTGCAGGAACTTGCAGGAAAAACGGGGGAAAACGGCTGTATTCTCCAGGAAAACACCGGAAATCACCGGAACATGGTAGCAGTATTCCGGCCGGAAATTTTTCGGATTTTTTCCCGATGTTTCCCGGCCGGTTCCTGCTGGAAAGAACAGGAATTCGCCGGAAAAAAGTCCGAAAATTTTCCGGCCGGAATACTGCTACCGAGTTCCGCTGATTTCCGGTGTTTTCCTGCGGGAACCGACCCGTACTCTTCGACCTGGGTGTAGTCTAGAAATTTATTTTACTAATTTCAGTTGTCTTGAATAGTTTAAAGAAACAAAACCAGGAAGGACTACTAGAATTTACCAATATTGTAGGAATAAAGATTACGTATGCCTACAATATTCTTTAGTAGTGAATTAACTTCTGTTTTTTTTAAATTTATGTAATTGGAAATTTCATAAGAAATCTTTCAACAACAAGTATCCATTGTCAATTATGATTCCTCTGAAAGCATATTTCATTTCTGTTTCTATCTTGTTAATCTATTTGTTGTTCGTCAATAGACAAATGATTGATTATCTTTTGTCAAAAATGTTTATTTTCTTGTGTAATCCAACCATATCATGGTATTTTTACTACTGATCAGCAACCTGCTTTTTTATACAACTTTTGAAATTAAATTAATTGATTGATTCGAAAAGAGAGGCTTCAGGTATGATATTATTTGAAATTCTGACTAATCTTATCGCTACTCGAACGCAGAAGAATAATGAAATGATCAAAATTCACATAAAATTCAAAGATATGACAATATACAAGTTCTTTTGCAATTTGTTTTTGTAAAATGTTGTAGCAAATTCTTTCGTGGAATAGTTTTCTAAGTCAGACTAAATGTATCAATCTGTTATACTTCAATGAGAAATGAATAAGATTTTAAACAAGAACTAAAACAGGCACGCTAGAAAGAGCTATATATATGCAATTAACGTTAGCTGTTCTATTTTGAGATTTTGTTTTGAAATCATTTCTAATCTATTGTGGTATACTGTGTTTTCGTATTTTTATCATCAATTATATATGTTTCACTTCATCGATCGCTAAATGACTAATGACGATGGCGAAGATTTAATAAACACTATTGACAGTTATTTGTTTCAAAGTTTCAAGAGCACGATCTATTTATTACTTCACGTAATATCAATCAACAGCTTTATAAAGTTTTCAACTAATTAAAAAAGAAAAGTACTTCACCTTTCTTATTGAATATGAGCTTATGCATAGTATAACTTGCAGAGAGAAATTGCGACATCATATCTAATCTCTATTTTTTTTTATCAAAATCACACATATAAAATGGTTTTATTTCCTATTGTTTCTCCATCAAGAACAATATTCATTGTTATAGTAATAAAAGTTTCCTAATTCTCGATTTGACTTGAATAGAATTATATTTCAGGTTCATCAATTTATTTCATAGCACAAACTGATTATCGTTCGTCATCTAAAACATATTGAATTTGTAAATGTTATTTAAAACATATGAATAGAAAACTGAGCTTTATAATAATGAAATTGGTTGTTGAGATAATAATTTGTCATGAAAACTGTTAAATATTTTCAATATAGATGAGTGTCAATGTGTGATGGACTCTTCACTTCATCATCCAACAATACGTGTGAAAACTGAGTGAATAAAAAGTAAACATATGAGTGTGTCAGAAGCTCAGCACACGATTAAATCATGTGTGAAGATCATTCAAAAAAGTCTATAGAAATAAATGAATACTGTCATAATTTTATCCATCTTATCACGTATGTTCGTTTTTCTCTGGATGAATATATTGCTCACCATAATCATTTGGCAAGTGTTTTATTATTAAAACGATCGTATTATTCTTTGGAGAAAGAAAATAAAGAGTATCAAAAATTTATTGAGCACAGCACGATCTATATATACGTATATATATATATATACATGATTGGAAAACACCACAAGGTGCCGTCCGTCATGGATCGAGTCTAGACATTGACACATGCATTTTGTCTCTCTTGAGAATAAGAGAAAACAACATTGTCCAATATCATACATTCCATGATTTGATTGAGATAAGCAGAGCATCTGCTGTTTTGCATTTGAAATAAAGATAACAAAAAATAATTTGCTATCTTTGATCTATTTTTATATTGCTATTTTTCGTTTGAATCGAACACGAACAATTTATTTCCAATTGTATTGTTTTTCTTTGTATTGAGCATTTCTAATTGATTCAAATTGGACCGTACCCAATTATAATCTGTTGCAGTTTCTATCAGTTTCACTTGTGTCAATATATACTCAAGTAGATGAACCAATTGATTTAACAATCAGGTTTTATAGTTTTGAAAAAATGCAAAATAAAAACAAGAAAAGCAACCAAATAGATTTCTTTCTTTTTAAGAGTCTTCTCATTTTCTTGTGAAATTCTCAAAAACGATTGACAAAGAATAATAGATAGTCTGGTGCAAATCATCTTTAAAAAGAAACAAAATGAACAATTAGCAAGGTCCTTAAAATAATAATTTGAACACCAACAGCTTCTAATTGAGTGAAAGACAACTCTCTCTCTCTCTCTCTCATGCACACCCCATGATGCAATCATCATTTCTTATTCTCGTCCATGTTTGTTCTCGATATTCACCATCTGTTTTCGATCGTCCATTGGTCATTTCATCCATTTAGCATACGAACAAGAAAAAAAGAGAACAAACATCCTTTTCCCTTTCTTATGTGCATATTCATTGATACGCCATACGCTAAACATATATCCGATTGTGGTATTAATAAAGAATATCAACGTCACAATCAGTATCATCAGTAAGGTAGCCATATGTTAGTTCAATTCACCTTGTCCAACCAAATATAATTCACAACTAGAAAGATAAATATATATATACTTGCAGCGTACACGACTAGTCTAAAGAAGACTTATATGTATATATGCGTCTGGTAGTCGTTTAATAATCGATTCGATTCATTATTGTATATTTGCAACAGTGAAGAAAAAGGTGTTGTAGATTTATACAAATATGAGCAGTATCGTTGATTGAAAATAGTATCTACTAGATCATGCTATAGTAAGTTAAGAATTTGAGAATAACTTCATTTCAATACATTTTCTAGTGTATGAGAAACAAAATGAGCAATTATAAAAAATTGCCGTTGAATTTATTGGTAAGTAGTAGTATGTCAAGATTAACATAAGTTAAGTATTCTATTTGTAAGATTTCATCACTATAGTCTTATCATCTTTTGAACAGTCACGAAAGTGTTTTTATGTCGGTTCAAATCGTTTTACTCTCTTGAGTTTCCATGAGAATGCACGAAACCTTAAATAGACCCATCAAGATCATAATTCATAGGCTTCTATTAGAAAAATGTTGAGATTTTTATCGCTTTTTTTTCTCTAAATTCATTTTCAAATTTTATTCTTTGACATTCGTTTAACTTTTATTGTTATAGTGACTCCTCCCATCTTAGATCGCCTTTCATTAATTATAGCCTTGAGGTTCATGTCATGACGATGCTGATGCCAAGATGGCAATCACGATAAAATGAACAGACAGCTATTTTTGTTTTCTTTCCTATGCTCATTGACCGGATGTTCTTGAGAATAATTTCCTCCGGCCATTAGCCTTGATAGTTTTCCTTTGTCATTATGAAGATGATAAGTTTTTCAATAGGGTCCGATTGTACAACGAAAAGGATGAGGTGTAAATATTGTTTTAACACTGAACAGACGCATTCAATGTACATCTTCATCAGAGAACAGAAAAGGGCAAATGCACCATCAAAATTGTATATGCATATGTATTCGTAGGATAAGCGAAAGAAACAAATGAGTGCAGCCAATTTCGTTTTTTTTCACGAAAAGAGAAAAAATCTGAACACATCTTGTTTTTGTTATGATTTGACTCTACACGCGCGGAAATCAACAGGCCTCAAGCTATCCTTTTTTCGTTGTATGCATAGAAAGAATGACCCGTGGATCGAAAAGTCAGCTCATTTCGATATAAAGGTGGTGTTGTTATTGTTAGAAAACGAGAGCGGCTAAGTAGACGATTGATCAAGACATAAAAAAGAAGTAAGCGAAAACTAATGGTCGATAATAGACCTTCTATCTGATCCATCTGTATCTTGAAACATTCATTTAAATATTGACAAATGTATATATTCAATTTTTTTATTTTCCAGATGTTAATAATACTAATTTTTCTTCCTGTCGTTGCAACTTTTGACTATTCAATTAAAATCGAAGAAAAATCTTCGATTAATAAAACAATTTATCAATTTTCACGTTCGTATGAATTATTAAATAATTTTCAATCAAGTTTCAATTTAACGAATGATAATAAAAATTTAATTTTAACAAAAAATATCGATCGTGATTATTGGTGTCTACAAAATATTTGTTCGTGTGATTATTGTTCATTTATTCTTGAATTGTTTTCGAACGATGATAAGATTTCTCCAACATTCTCAACGATTAATATCACAATAACTGATATAAATGATCATGCTTGTCAATTTTTGGATATTCAAAAAAATATTTTCTTATCTGAATCTATTCAAATTGGTCACCGCTTTCCAATAGCACGTGCAATTGATTATGATTCAGGTATAAATAGTCAATTATCATTTAAACTTATTGATAATAATGATTATTTTGAATTAAATATAATAAAATTATCAACAAATGAATATGCATTATATGGAATTGTTAAACATTCATTTGATAGAGAATTAAATGAAAAATATGATTTAACTATTGAAGCACATGATCATGGAATTTCACAAGTTAGATTCAATCGTACAAAAGTAACACTTTGGATTTTAGATGAAAATGATAATGCACCAAAGTTTAATCAAACTGAATATTCCATTCAAGTAAGTTTTGAACGATACTATCATCATATTTGAACTTTTTTCTTTTTCTCCTCAATGTTAAGTCACTTCCAGAAGATACTCCAATGGGCACTGAATTATTAAAAATTACAGCTACCGATGTTGATAAAGGTTTAAATGGACTTATACATTATTCAATCATAATTGCATCAGATATATCATTATTTCCATTTGTAATAAATGCAACGACTGGAGTTATTAGTCTTCGGCTATCATTAGATTATGAAACAGTTCGTTCGTATCGATTTCTAATACGAGCATCCGATTCTGGTTTACCACAATCTTTATATACTGATACTTGGCTGTCGATTAAGATCAAAGATATAAATGATTGTCCGGTTGAAATCTTTTTTCTATCTAATCGACAGTTTCAATATGATAATCAAATATTATTTATATATGAAAATACAGAAATAAATAATTTAACATTAGGTTACATTCGTTTATATGATCGTGACTCTGAACAAACAAAACTTTCCCTTTCATTAGTAATGTTAGATAAAAATGTTAAACAAGATTATGAAGTTATTCTATCTAATCAAATTAATTCATATAAATTAAATGTTAAACAAGGAATATTTGATCGAGAACTTCAGACAGAAATAAATCTTCGTTTTATAGCTTCGGATACTTTATTAACATCAATTTATGATTTGAAAATCCATTTGATTGATTTAAATGATAATCCAAGTGAATTTTCATCGAATCTATTGAAATTTTATGTTGAAGAATTAGCAAATTATCATATGGTTGACAATTTGATTGAAAATTATCAATTAACAATTGGTTACTTAAATGCATTTGATCGAGATGAAGGTGAAAATGCATTAAATAAATATGAAATAGAATTAAATTCATTAGTTGAAATTGATCCTGATACTGGACGATTATTTTTAATCCAACCAATTGATCGAGAACAAATATCAATTATTGAATTAAAAGCAAAGGCTATTAATATTGTTGAACCAAAATGGGAGACTGAAGTTCAAATTCAAATTCATATGTAAGCTTTTTCATACAACAGATAATTTTGAAATTGATCAAACATAAAAAATCTCAAGAGAGAATTTACAATGACTTCAAGATATAAACAGGACTTGTTATGATGTTGGAGAAATAGGTTACCAATGAAATTGTAGAAGAAAAAAAATATACAGTACTCTTGAAATCAAAATTTCAGTGGTGCAGGAAATTGCAATGCTATTTTAGGATCAATTCATAAATTTAGCATTTTTCCAAAACTATAATTTATCAGAAGAACGACCATTGATAAATTGAAATGTTACATGAAATATTATCAATTTCAAAACATTGTTTTATTGCATTTTAGTTTTCTTGACAGGTGAGATAATGAGAGAACAATCATGCAATAATATCAATGAAAAAAAACATCTAGAATTTTTAGCATTGAAAATTTGAAGAAAAGACTCATTTGAAACCAAACTTATACATTATTCTAGTGATCGGTAAAGTCACATGAAGGACAATTTATTATTTTAAAATTCAATCATGTGATTTTCTATGAATCCATTATTGTAGACAACAAATCTAGGAGAGCTATCGTAAGTTACGAAGAAGAAATCATGAGAATGATTTTCTCTTCTGTTAGTGGCATAGTTAGAAATCGCTGAGTAAAATTAAAATGCAACTTGGCGTTTTAGTACACGACGTAAACTTTGCTGTGAATATTTTCTATCAAATATATGTAGTATATTCAAGCAAAGACTAGAATGGGACTGATATAGTGTTTATTCATAGCTGTCGATATTTTTGTGTCTATTTATTTTCAAAATGAATTAATCACAACTCTAATTTCTAGTTTGGATGTCAATGACAATATTCCTCACTGCTTAGCATCTTATCAACGAATATCCATTCCGGAAAATTTTCCAATTGATCAACCATTAATTAAAATAAACGCAACTGACGCTGATTATGATATAAATGGAACAATACATTGTTCGTTACGAACAAATTCTTCGTGGCCATTTGAAATTAATTATAAAACCGGTGAAATTTATTCAGAACAAATATTTGATTATGAATTAGAAACTAAAATTTTCAACATAATTATTGATCTCGAAGATGAAGGTTTTCCAAGAAAAAATCAAAATAGAAATGCTTGTCAATTAGAAATAAATATTGAAGATATAAATGATAATCGACCTGAATTATTTGATCAGAAACAAACACAAATTTTTGTTGATCTACAAAATCCATTTAACGCTGAGATCGTTTTATTAAATGTTACAGATTTAGATTCAGGTGATAATGGAAAAATAAAATATACTTTATTAACACATGAAAATGATTCTCACTTCATTATTTATCAAAATGGTAGTTTACAAATGACACATCAAATTAATCAATTAGCCCTGTTTGAGTTAAAAATTTTATTGGGTAAATCTATAAAAACATATTATTCAATTTTCGAAGTTAAATTTTTATTTTTTTGTTCATTTTATTTATAGAAGACTACGGTATACCATCACAACAAACAATAATTATTGTCAGTGTTGCCATTGGTGATTCATCAATACTATCCTATTCAACATTTGAAAAAGTTCAATTAAAATATTCTCGTTCAAGATCTATTGGTCTTATCGTAGGCTTATCAGTTTTAATAGTAACATTTGGATTATTTTTATGTATTATTATTACTTGTGTATTACTTCGAAAACATCGTCGACAGCATCAAGCAGCGATAATAGCACGAAAAAAACTTTTATGTTCATCATCACAACAATTAACATCATCAGGTTCAACAGAAACAACAACTACAACATCGTTATCTATTGAACATCAACACATCGCAAATATTCTACAAATCAAACCAACTTATTGGCATGAGAAATATTATGATCAACATTCATCGAATTCTTATAATGGTAAATCTGCAGGTCGTTTTTCTTTCTAAGCATTTTGTAATACGTTTTTGTTAAATTTTCAGTTGATACTTCATCATCCGAATCACGAACATATAAAATTCTTCATATACCTCAAGATAGTGAATATTATATGCAATACTATCAACAAGAACAACTAGTTAATCATGGTTCTGATCATGGTTATCATGGAAGTAATGAAACAGGTTCATCGTCATCACCTGCATCACAAGTATCAGTCCGTCGTTTATATATGGTTAATCAATTACCTGATTTTGTTACGAGATGTAAAAGTGTTAATGGAGGATTTCTTATCGAAATGAATGTTGATGCTAGTGATGAAGATGCGAGATAATGTTTATTACTTTGTTTTGTATTATGTAGATAAATTATTGATCTTATTTATTGTTTCTGGCTTTTAAGAAATAAATAAACGTAATATTTTGTCAAATTAAAAAGAAACTTCACACGTTATTCTATTTTATTTTCAATCTAAAACAAATACGGCTAGAATGCTACAAGAGTAGCAAGCAATTATCTAGGAATGAATCAGAGATGATGATTCTGAAATCTTGAAAATATTTAATTTTTTCTCTAGCACAATTCAGATGCAACATTGCATGTTTTTGTTCGTCTCTATCCAGGAATATCTTCATTGTAGGAATTTGGCAAGTTTTAGCAAAATTGTCTCAACGAATATTCGACACCATCAACTTCGTCCACGTTCATTCCTACGAACGATAACAAAAGGAATCGATCTAAAAGTGAATGTGGTGAATATCCTAGTTTATAAAAACTATCTGCTCGTTGTTATATCCCGTTTCAACAAATTTAGATTTCTGTGTTTAAGGATGACAAAAAGCTAAATTATATGTCTCCGAAAAACTTTCTTTCAATTCAGGACTAGACAGTCATTTTAGTTTTTGTATAGTCTAGTCGTCAGTACTTATTTTTACTTAAAACTATGTTTAAATAATTTTTTTAGAGTTTACGTGTCTTTAAAATGAACTTCTCATACCTATAACGAATGAATATACAATCTGAAAATGATCTATTCGCATAGATTTGACAATGAATAATAAGAGGAAAAATTATTCAACAAAAAACAGTATTTTCTAGTGCTCGCTGAAGATATTTCTTTTTTAATTTGGTATCTAATATTAGCCAATAGATTTTTATACGATCAAAACGTCAAGCTGCGAACATAATGGATCAAATATGACTAAATTTCATCGTTTATGAAGATAAACAAACTCATAACATCATATCTATTAATGGTCTAAACGGTATGGGATTATTTTTTTACTTGAATAGGCTATCTGTCAAGTTTATTTACACGACGCACATAATCGATTCATTACATATGATTCTATAAGAGAGCAAAAATAATAGTAAGATGAAAAGAGATCTACTTTTTTTATCAATGGTATTCTCTCTTCTTCCCCTTAGATCTACGAGCTATATAAGCTTTTAAGAAATAGACTATATGTGTTCTTCGTAAATTATTTTATCAGAGCGGAAGAAAATTGTACTATTTTGAAATCATGACAAGTGAAGAGTATGTATTCTTTAGTACGGCAATAGTACGATAAATAAACTATTTTCAGAAGGATGATTCATGATCCAAATGATCCAGAATTTCAAGAGGCCATGAAATATTTAGCATTACCAACTGAAGAAAAACTTAAACTTCGATCTCAAGCATTTGATGCTAAAAAATCATGTTGGATACCGGATCCAAAAGAATCATATATTGCTGCTGAAATTGAAAATACGAAAGATGAACAAGTGACAGTAAAAACTTGCAAAGGAGAAGTATGTATAGATTTGATTCGAAAATCTTAATGGATTACTTGCACTAATTCTATAGATTAGAACAGTTAAAAAGGATGACGTTCAACAAATGAATCCTCCGAAATATTGTTGTTCTGATGACATGGCTGATCTAACCTATTTGAATGATGCTTCTGTTTTAGCTAATTTACGTGATCGTTATTCACGATGGCTTATCTATGTAAGTATATCTCATGATTTATTAATAAAAGTCTCTAAATTTATATATATATATATATATATTTAGACATTTTCAGGTTTATTTTGTGTCGTTATAAATCCATATAAACGTCTACCAATCTATACTATGAAAGTTGTTCTTGGTTATCGTGGTAAAAAGCGTACTGAAGTTGCGCCACATCTGTACTCTATATCTGATAATGCCTATTCAAATATGCTTCGAGGTAAATATCTTTATCTAAACAAATTTATGTTATTATAGAAGTAGATATACAAGTTTAATAAAATACTCATCACTTAGAAATCGTTTACTAAAGATCTATACCACATGCTGAGACACGAGATATTAGTTTCATGCTAAAATCGATTACATATCTTATTATAATCACATGTGAAATGTACATGTATTACAGGAAAGTGATTGATAAAGACGTATGGAATATGAGAAAGAATTAATGAGAATTTTAAGTGATCATTTAATATACTGCTGTGGTACATTGATATACAATATGCGATACAGAGCATAAATACAGAGAGTTTTAAAAGAACTATATTCTCACTGCAAGCATCTAGAAAGATCTAATCCAGTGAAATTGAAACAACAAATATAATGCTGTTATGTTATAGCCTACAAAAAAACGATTTGTGATTGCTTGAGATATTTTATACTTTTCTTTTAAAAATCTAATTGAGAACATGTGGAAAATCTTCTATTCAGTGCAATTATCTTCGCTTTAATTAAAATCTAAATAAAAAATATGATATTTGATTATAACTCATCGAAAACGTCATACCACTCTCAAAAAATGTCGAGCTTTGTGAAAAACTCAAAATTAAGATAAATTCATTATTGACGAGTCTACAATGCTTATTTCAATAATTTCTATAATTTTAAAGTTTCTTCATCTGAAGAGAATGAATTTTTACAGGGTATGCATAGTTATTTTCTAGTAATTCTTATCTATCCATCGAGGATATGAAAAAAAACAGTTAATTTATTACAACTAAAACTAAATAGATGGCTGACATAAGCAGTCTTAGAATCTTAAAAGCTTAGAATTTGTTGTCGTTCACAAAATATTTCGAAATCTTGTTTATTGTTCCTGTTAGGATGTAAATTTAACAATGTATCTGATACGACTTGCTAAGATTGTAAAGGAGAAATTCTAATAAATTTTTTTGTTAGAAAACTAGTGTTCAGAGAGATAGGAAAGTTTAAAGTTCATTTCATGATAAAAACTATTTGTGTAATCAAATATTAGCTATTCGTACAGCGTATTTCAGTTATATGTAGTGCTGATCGAACTCGTGACTATCTAAAAGATTGAAAACAACTAGAAATCCAAAAACAGTCGATGAGAACCAGTAGCCCCCTCCCTACCGTCTTTGCAAAAGCATGGGGAAAATAGATTGTAGTCCCGATCATTGCAAGCAATTGGAGATAATATAAGAGGCTTCAAGATTTCGATTGAAACTATATAGATTTATATCGTCCTAGCTTTCATCCACGAAAAAAGATATTAGATGACGAGTTCCTTTCTTTATAAGAAAGTACAATAGTTATAATTAGGATTACTGAATTTCAGCTGAATATTAAATGTTATCATACGAATCTAAGCATCTAATCCGTTGAACAAAGATCTTCTATTGGCCATTATCAATGCTGATATATGTATATCATCTGTCGTAATGTTTTCTAGAAAACAATTCAGAATAAATAAATATTATTAATTCCTATAATTATTTAACATAAAAAAAAACAAGCACTATTCTAAATTAGTGAATAAGTGCTCGGTGTTTTGATTCATGCAGAAAAAGATGGAAAAGAGCATAAAACAATTAAAACTATATACTAGATCGACTATGTTGAGGCAGAATTTTTGATTGTAGATTTTCGAAAAATCTAAATCTGATCTGTTTGTTAGAAACAAGAATTTGTTTTAATATTTAGATCGTGAAAATCAATCCATGTTGATTACAGGCGAATCCGGTGCTGGCAAAACAGAAAATACGAAGAAGGTTATCCAATATTTTGCTCTGGTAGCTGCAGTTGGTGCAAAAAAAGAAGAAGGAAAAGTAAGAAGAATTCAACGAAATCTATATCAACTTTTTATTTTCTTGTAACGAATGAATAGAAAACAATGACACTTGAAGATCAAATTGTGTCAGCTAGTAAATAAAAATCTTGTAATTGCCTGGATTATCATATAAATCTACTAATTTCTTTTTAGATCCTGTGTTAGAAGCTTATGGTAATGCAAAAACAACTCGAAATAATAATTCATCTAGATTTGTAAGTGAAAAATTACTTTTTGGTTTAATGTTTATTTATCTATCTTCATTTTAGGGTAAATTCATTCGTATTCATTTTGGTAGTGCTGGAAAGATTGCTGGAGCCGATATTGAGGTTTATTTATTGGAGAAATCTCGAGTTATTTTTCAAGTGAGTTTATTGATGTACAATGATAAGAACTTAGTATGTTTTTTGAAAGATAATAAAAGAGAAGTTATGAAGTTTAGTAGTAGAAATAACGTTATTCCTGCAGTTTTACTCAACACTATGATAGGCCAGAGCTATCAACAGGTCAATTTTCTACTGTAATTTCATAGAAATGCTTCTAACTGATTGAAGTTTCTGATTTTTTTTTGTAGTGTATTAAATACTATTACTCTACATTGATCTATCATTCTAATTTTCAATATCGAATTCCTTTTTTTCATCGATATAATGTTATAACAAGTTCTTATACTCATACGACCAAGCGAAAAAAGAAAAAAAGAAAAAAATCATATTTATCTTTCATAAAAGATCCGATTGAAATAATGTGATTTTTTTAATTGTATAATACTATTTCAAATAATCAAAAAGTCTGATGATAATAAGGACATGAGTCTACGATCCATAAAACAACGAAAATCTAGAGAATAAATAATATTAATAGTGATTAGTATGAACATTCAAATTTAATAATGAAATTTTGCGCTAGAACGAACACAAAATATTCTGTTTAATAGTTTTAAATTTAGAGAAGTACTTCTATTAGTCTAAATGAGCGTTAAGAAAATGTACGGTACATTTCAGTGTTGATTCCCCAGATGAAATGAAATTTTTCCAGCATTTTTGAATTCCGCATAAACGTAATATTTCAGGAAAACTTGTAAGATCAACCAAAAACATTGAGCCTAGTAGTTGCTTATCAGAGAGTTGATCATACGGATAGCTCTATGAAAAACACTGCTGCCGCAGAACCTATCATTACCGATATTAGCAACAACACAGTAATCCATGCTTCTTAGTCTCTTATAGATAATTCTAATTATTTGTTTTTCATTTTATTTCAG